CCCAGTCCTGAATCAGGTCTTCACCTTTCACCAGCACTCATCCTGAAGGAAGTTTAGTTCTTTAACAAAACAGTAATGTCACAGCAGATGATCTAAGTACTCTCTCTCTCTCTCTCAAGAATATATTTATATTTTGCTAGACCTACAGCATGACCCACATGCAATTGTTGCTTGCTTCGATCTACTTTAACTCTTTCACCTTAAATTTGAATGTTATATTCTTTCTTGTCTTGGTGCTGGGACTGTCAATGCTGACACAGATGTTACTCACTATGGCTCAACAGATTTCACCAAAACAAAGAGGCGACAATATGCCAAAACTCCGTACAGAATCAACTAAATGTGTTAAAATTCACAGCCCACAAAAAACAAAAAAGAGGTTACAGTATGAAGAATCAGGAGAGAAAATACCTTGTTTCTATCAGGAATCGAACCCTGAGCGCCTTCGGTCGTCCAGCCTATATATAGCCCAGCCGCTATACCGACTGAGCCATCTCAGCCCCAAAGACTTTCACTCTTATCCCATTACTTTTCTTCTGGGAGTTATTTTACAGTGCTTCAATATCTAGTTACTTATTGGAGAGGGTGGGTTTCCCCATGCACTTAGACCAGTATTGGTCCATTGTACTTCCCTCTATGATATTCTACCAGTCTCTATACCCTACCGGTATTGGTGCGTGCCATCAGTCCCGACCAAGCCAGCGAGTTCGGCCTCTACTGGCTTAGCGGTATCTATAATGTTTTCCCCATCTATCAGAGGTGTTAGAGACTACTGTTGGGCGGGAAATGTCCTTGAATTTGGCTCAGTGACCTCCTTTGGAGATATGAGGTTCTTTTACATGCCGTAAAGCTATGACACGGGACCCACGGCTTAAAGTCCCTCCCGGAGGACTTGTTCCCTGAATTTTTCCGCCCTTAAAAATTCCACGACTTCTGCAGGGTTTGAACCCGCGTACCACGAGTCATGAGGTGGGAACGTTACCTCTAGACTACGGAGGCCGCTTTTCAATATCTAAGACTGTATAGTGTAAAATTATAGGGCGACAGATGAATTGGAAAAGTGGTAGGAGCGAGTGGTCACATTTCAAGATGCTATCCTGGCACTAGCCTTGAGAGACTGGGGAAAACCACGAAAATCTCAATCACTGTCACAAAATACAAGATTCAAACCAAGCACACCCAGAATACAAGTCTAGAATATTACTGATGGTCCATCCTGCATGATTATTCCCTTAAATATATACGGCAGTAAATAAATCACAGTTATTTAAATAACATAGTCCTGCGACTTTCACATGATCTCCAGACAGTCATCTGCATCACTGGCTCCATATATGTCAATGCAACCTGGCTTGAGAAAAATAAACATATCATTAGTCAGTCAATGGAGTTTTCATTTCATGTTTGAAATTTTTATTTTCACTGTCCATCATGTTGCCAGTTCATAGATTTTGTTAGTGAGATTAATCTCAACATTCACTTTATTGTATATGTTAATATGAGTTTTATTTTCAGAAAAAAAAAATCTGTTTTGATTTTAACAGCTGTGACATGACATCAGCTAAAAATTTATCTATGTTTAAATTGTTTCCTGTAAGAATACTGTGAATATTAATCTTGAAATGTAGTGGTAAAAATGTAAAGCTGTCCCTGTGCTCAACTAATTAAGTACTATGCCATTAAGGCATATGGGGGAGTAGATCTATAAATCCACATTTTCTTGACCTTGGCACTAGTTGGAGGTTGAGAGGTCAGCTTCACGCTTCTGCCGCTTTACAACTGGTACCCATCGGATAGGAAGCTGGGTGGGGCCCAGAGCCGGTCTGGATGCTGTGGAGAAGAGAAATTTCTTGACCCTACTGGGACTTGAACTCCGACCCCTCAGTCGTTCAGCCCATAGCCAGTCGCTATACTTAGTACGCTATCCCGGCTCCTTGAAATATAGTGGACTCCTGATTATTCGGAATTGAGGGGAAAAGAGTTTTGCACAATAATCAGAAACCCAAGGTATATGTAAGAAACTTGTGGAGTTGATTTATAAAGCGACATACACATACACAAATGTGTGCTTTGCTTGAATGCTATTGGTAGAAACATGAATGTGATTTCTCATAAACTGTGGCATTTCTATGCATCTAAAAGTAAAATCAAACAAAACCTTCTCGAGTTTCAAAGAACGTGTTTAAAAGTGAAATAATACTCCCTTATTTTTTTACTTTTCCCTTTTTAAAAAGCAATCTTACACACAGTTTTGTCTTTTAACACAGGGCACACCAGTCAATTTTCTAAACAAGGGCCCCCCCGATAATCTGCCCCGCTTAAATGGGATTCTGCTGTAGTATGATCTGTCTGAAGAGAACGGATGTCTAGTCTTGCAGCATATGATCATCAGGTAGGAAAGTCTTAGTTTCCTGCAAAATGAAAAACAAAAATAAAATTATGGTGAGTGTAGTACTTATCATGATTTGATTTTGTATACAGTGATACAATTTGTGTTACTGTTTAGCAGCACCAAGAATTTTGTTAAGGAAACATTATGCATTCATTTTTCTACACTTTCTTGATGGAAAGAAGCATTTTGATTTTCATAACACCTTTGTGCTCATACAACTGCATGTAACCAAGTTATCCACAACTGTACACCATATACTGGAAATTGCCTGTAAACAAGGTTTTTTCCTTTCTCGTTATATTCAAGCTTTGTCTTGCTTTGGATTTATATTAAAACCAATATAACAATCCATTCTAGAAAATGCCCAAAGAAACCGGCTGGGGGAGCAGATTTATAGCTCCACCATTCTTAACTTCCATGTTAGTGCCCCTGCCACTTTATCCCTGGAGAAAAAGCCGTCTCTGCCCATTACATAGGAGGCTGAGTGGGCCCCAGATCCCATTAGAATGCTATGGATATGATGTAACATATTAAAATAATTTATCAGACCATTTATTTTTATTTTAGACCCATGAAAAAAAAGAAAACAGTAGAATATGCATTTACAAGAATGCTACAAATGCATTTACAAAATGCATTTAAGGATAATAAGGTTTTTAGAATATATGTTAAACATTTTATATCAAACATTAATTGTATGAAAACTGTATTCAAGCACTGTACATACTTTCTAATATATATATTTACAACTTCTTGAACTAGTTTTTTAGCTTATAATAAAAAAAACTGACTAAGCTCACTGACAACAAAACATGGTAACACATGTAAAAATCTTTGATGAAGTCATTGTGCTCTTAATTCATAAATTTATGTATTCAGGTATTATTCAGCACATGTATGCTCATTCAGTGAACTTGTCTGATATGTGTTAGTAAGTTCTGTATGAGTATATTTTCAATAAATGTCTGCATGTTCAGTTCACAATTACTGCTCTACTGAGGTTGGATGATAAAGATTTCTGAGAAAGAACGCCATATTTTCTGGGTGAACAGAAAAGATTAAGTCAAGGATATCATTACTGTTACCCTTCTAATTCATCATCTTTAAAGGAATACTTATCTCTGCAACTGAAGTCACACCGGATATGAAGAGAGAGCTTTGTAAGTTAAATGTAAGTATTCCCTGTGTTTAATTAGGAATTACACCATGAAGGCATACAGTAGAGGTGAAGATGAAGCCTCATGTGTTCTGAATACTGGCACTTTTTTTTTCATGCCTGGCACAAACACTTGCGCAAAAACAACCTTCTATTAGGACTCATAAACGTATTCAAATAAAGACTCATGTAAGAAGACTATGAACATTTCTTTAACTTTATCCAAATTTCTGTCATACAGAAAGTATTATGTCCTTTTTACATTTGCAAATATCTTGGTACCACAGTATTTAAAGGTGCATGATATAGAGCCAAAAACCAGGACATAATTTCTCTCTGACACACAAATAATGAAATATAATTCACAGTATTTACATCAGTGGCTTCTAGGACAGATCTACACTTTGAGCGAATAGAGGAGGAAGTCTTATAGACATGGATGGAAAAAGATTAAGCTCTAACAGCTCGCTTCAAAGGATAGCAGTAACATAATCAATGAATATATTCAACAGAAACATCTAGAAAGAAAGCACACACTTCTAATTTTTCTAACTGCAATTCAAGACAATTACATGGTAAACTCATGGCTGTTGTCTCTGTTTATATTTTTAGCTGTTGTGTATAGATGGGCAGAAAATGAATTTAAGATACCAGAAGATAAGAGCATTGCTCTGAATATTTATAACCAAAAAATCCAAATCTCCCTGCTTTCATGGAATTATGTGCCACATCTTTTACCGTTCTGCTATCAAGGCGAGACAGTAAAATCCCTCAGACACTCTGGTTGGTGTGGGTGCATTAAAGGCAAGATGTCTCAGGGTGAGTAACCTGATTATCATGAATAATAAATGGACAGGCTAGCAGATGAAACAGGCTGGGGTGGTTACTCCAGTCTCAGGTGCTAGGCCCCAACTGCTGTTTGGTTACAAACCTAGCTGCGACCAGATTGGAGCTCTGCTTCACCTGACATGAGGATGGAGGGAAGCTGCAGGGTTTTTGCTGCCAGAACTCTGTATTAGTCCTTCTACTCTACTGCTGTCATGGATAGACAGTCAAACCTATCTAAGGCTTAGGAAAGGGTTCACTCAGGAGAAGACTGCAAGAGATCTTTCAGGAGCGTGAATAACATGGCTATCAACAAAAAGACTTGGGAGAGGCTAGGGAGGAAACAAAGCAGCAAAGGAATCTCTTCTCTAAGGAACTGAGACCTCAAGGTCCAACTGGGACCAATTATTATTATTATTATTATTATTTTGGAGGGGGTGGGTTTCCCCATGCACTGCGACCATTTGTTGGTCTACTGTGCATCCCCCTATAATTATTCTAACTAGTCGCCATGCCCTTCCAGTACTGGTGCTCGCCATCAGCCCCGTTCTGCCAGCGAGGTCGGCCCCTCTCTGGCAGTAGTCCCTGATACTTCCCCATCTACCAGAGGAATTGGAAACTACTTGGGCGGGAAACTTTTTGCCTAATTTTGCTCAGAGGTCTCCTAGAGACATGATCTTTTACGTGCCGTAAATCTAAGACATGGGATACACAGCTTAAAGTTGGTTAAAAGTTAAAGTTAAAGGACTTGTTCCCTGAATTTTTCCGCCCTTAAAAATTGCATGACGTCCACCGGGTTTGAACCCGAATACCTTGAATCATGAGGTGGGAACGTTACCCCTAGACTACGGAGGTTGCAACTGGGAGCTTTGCTGTCACTGTTAGGGAGTGACAGAATGTGTCTGGATGGCAGGGGCCCAAAAGATGATGTCATTATATTAGTGCCCATCTTGGTTGGTTAGAGATCTATGACCTTCAGCTCTGCATCAGTAGAGTTGATGGAAATGAAGAGAACCACAATCTGCAGGGTTTTGGCTCTGACTAAGGTTGAGTTTCTCAGAAAATTGAAGCAACAACGGAGATGCACAATGGACCCAATAGTGGTCCGAGTGCTTAAGGGGTGAGTACAAATTTTCCCCTTTGCATCAATATAGTAGAGCTCATATACATCACTTAAATTTGGATAATAATAAGCAGAAGGTGCGGCTATATAATTCTTGTGACCTCACTTCCCAGACAAGACTTTCTACTGGAGTGTCAGAGATCATGATTACAAGAAACATTCTTCCTGTTCATTCACTTATGAATGTTTCTGTAATGAGTACAATTATTCTAGTACAGCACGCTTACCTTATGGTTAAAATATTTAGTGTTTCAATGCAATGCAGCAAAGTGAGAGGTAAGTATTTTCCATTTTGATGGCTATCAATTTTACAAAATGCCTTTCATGGCATATTAAGCAAAGGCATAGCAGTTTACAAGGCCATATGAATCTCTTGCGCAGGAGTCTGCAAAATTGGAATGTTTAACACGTGATAAAGACACTTACACCAGTCAGTCAGTCAGTCAGTCTTAGCACTTAATTATCGCAAGTATAATGTTGAATTCTTCAATTCAACATTAGTGGATTACCACTGCATACTTTTGACAAAACCTGCAATTTAATTTGCAAGCATCACCTTTCAAGACTCACTGGTCTGTCCAGTAAGGAACATGACGTTTACAAAATTTACTGCCATCATAGGCATTTCAGAGAGGTGTCAGCATCTCTGTCTCCTCCATGTCATGTTCTATTTCAGAAGTGATGGACTGCTTTGACTTGCTCAATTCTGAAAATCCTGGAGTTGCTGCTCCAACTGTTTCATATATATTGTCAAAAAGTTTTGATACAAACTCCATAACTTTCTTGTATGTTCCCTCACGTAATTTATGGTAACCTTTCCCTGCAATTAAGAGAAAAGATAATTATACTTATGCTGTAACTCCTTTATTTTTGACTAATTGCTTCTATAAATCAAGATTTCAATCTTATATTCATTGTCTGTGACGTTTTCAAGTTACAGTAAAAATTTACACTAAAAACCCACAAATCACAGTCAGATCAATCATATGCTGCTTGATGAGCAATTTCATACTCCTCTGAAGTTTTCTCCAGCATATGCATGTTCATGCCCAGAAGTTTCTAAAGTTACCATTTTTTTTTCCATTTATTAACATATATTTCTGTGAAAATCATTTTCCCTTTCACATTTTTGTTTAGTTAAGAAAGTCATGGACTTGAACTGCTGGATACAGAAAAGAGTGGAATTAATTTTTGTTACATAGCAGAATGTAATATTGACATTCAGGAAATGCCGGTTGAGATATGTAACAGTATCATAACAGAACAGTTGTGTATTTAACCATGAATGTATGAGGGGTAGGCCTCCTCGGCCCTTGCACCGCGACCTACAGTGGTCTATTGTGCTTAAAAATATGGAACGCTTCACACTTATGAGTGTCATCCTTGTGCAGGGACAATGCTAATCATCTCTGTACAGTACTAATTTTAGTATGTGTACTGCCAAAGCGAGTACTATTTAACCATGATATTACTCACTAAAAATAATTTTTGTTCCTTATAATGCACAATACTTTTTTGTGGCATCTTTATTTTACCAATATATTACAAAAAATCCAGAAATATGTTCCTGTTTCTTACCCTCTGTCTTGTCATTTCAATATTGTGGGGCCCATGAAATTGTGAGACTTGAGTCTGGAATTGTGTGAAAGAACACCCTGCTTGGTATGGGAATCAAGTAGTGAATATACAAACCAATATTTACAAATATTAGAAATGTGAACAATAAGATATCTCTAAGAACTCATTGTGAAACTGTGTTCATGGTTCTTACAGTGCATACCTGAAGGTTGTAGAACACCATGGATAGGAACTCCTTGTTGTGTTAATGAAGCCACAAACCGCTTCAGTAAGGTGATCAGAGTTTCTTCAGGAAGTGGATGAAGTCGTGCCAGAAACCTAAGTAGGTATTCAAGTGTGTACTGGGTTGCCTGTAATAAATCATATATAATAATTTCTGTAATATTTTGTTATTATTTGATTTGAGGCAATTGAAGAGAAGACAAATTACAGCAACAAACAATTTACATAGAAATAAAGGAAGTATACGAGTACAAGTGCTTATATTAAAATATTACTTAGTGAGTACTTCAGATCTCTTTAAATTATCTTAGAAAAACTAAGAATATATTTACAGCATAACTGTCATATACTGTAGTTGTATTTTCATGTAGATTATTCCTAATGTGGTACACATTTGTTTAATTCAAACTCTAATTTTACTCTAAAACACGTTTATCATTTTAGGTGACATGAGAGTTATGTATTTGTGATCTGTCATTACAAAAAATCTGTTTGGCTTTTCAATTAGTGCTAGCTGTGTACACATAGTTAATACATGGAGTAATCTTGGAATGAGTGTAGAGACGGTATGAGTAAGAGCCGAAAGTGATTCAAGTTAAAGGAAATAAGAACACAGCAACAGGAAGTTAAATATCCGTAATAAGAAACTGTAGACATTATAACCCTCTGCTCATAAAGACCACATTTCTAGGCAGACATTTTGACATCAGTGAGAATGCTAACCAATCTAGAAAAGTTGATTTGTGTGATATCAAAAATTGCCCTGAAGTTTTTTGATAGGGGTACCCTTACTGTAACCTTGAATTCAACACTCAGGAATGAAAGTTTTACAGATTTTGGTGGTTTAAAGAAACTGAGTCGGTGACACATATTTACTCCAAAAGAATGATGTAATGTTTCACATGAAGAACTGAAGTTTAAACTTATGAAATTCCAGGGGCAGAGCTCAAATGAAGTCATGAACATAACCAGGATTATCATCTTGGGCATTATCCATCGTCTTGATTTTCTTCAAATGACAACATTTTGGAAATTAGGTGTTTCAGTCATCAGGTTCCTACTTTCCTGGGCCTGCTGGAGACAACTAGTCTCAGTTATTTGTAATCACAATTCTGCATGAAGAGTAACATACTGTCTAATATAATAGCAAATAGTATGTGTTGCTCTGTTAACGATGAATTTGTATGAACTATTTTCTTGAATTTATGGAGAAAAACTGAAAATGAGCCATAAACTTATTTACCAACATCTAATTTGTATCATAATTTATCCTCAGCGGCCTCTGTAGTCTAGGGGTAACGTTCCCACCTCATGACTCAAGGTATGCGGGTTCAAATCCAGCGGAGGTCGTGGAATTTTTAAGGGTGGAAAAATTCAGGGAACAAGTCCTCCGGGAGGGACTTTAAGCCGTGGGTCCCGTGTCGTAGCTTTACGGCACGTAAAAGAACCTCATGTCTCAAGGAGACCTCTGAGCTAAATTGAAGGACATTTCCTGCCCAACAATAGTCTCTAACACCTCTGGTAGATGGGAGAAGCATCTAGATACCGCTGAGCCAGTAGAGGCCGAACTCGCTGGCTGAGTCGGGACTGATGGTATGCACCAGTACCGGCAGGGTATAGAGACTGGTAGAATATCACAGGGGGACGTACAATAGATCAAACTGGCCGTGGTGCATGGGGAAACCCACCCCCTCCAATAATAATAATAATAATAATAATAATAATAATAATAATAATAATAATTATTTATAGTTTATCACTTTTTTAGTACAAATATCTTAAATATTCCACATACACAGCCAAATTAATACTCCAGACACTTTAACATCTGTTTATAAATATTTTTTTAGATGTTTCATGTCTCACTTTCATATACTTCCCAGCAAGAATAAATAACACAACTTACTAGATCAAGCTTCTTGAGACAAGCTTCTGGGCGATTTCCGAGTAACACAATATAACTCAGATCATCTCTGCTAAGAACTGGTACTTTAAGATGCTCTAACCAATCATACATCAGGCCTGTAAGGACATATAAATTCTTCTCCATTTGCAGTCTTGTCCATGCTGACTGCCTGTAGTTCAAGTCCGTTCGATATTGCCTTATGCCTTTCCTTATTCCATCACTTAACAAATTATGGTCAGCCAGAAGAGCTTGAACCACATCATCTACGTGGTATGGCTAAAGGAAAATAAAATTAATAGTATTAAGGCTATGTGGGATTTGAGGTTTTCACAGCGGTATCAAGATTATTGTCTTTTAAGATGTGAAACCATGTAGTCTGTTTGACAGGCACCCGTGCTTTGGAGAAACCTGCTAAATCCATCTCGTACCTTCAACATGAAGGGAATAGGTTCCTCCAAACCCCGGTATCTATCTCCAAAGCTACCCACTGTCACATCCCAGAAGACTGTACTCAATTTTAGATGCAGTTGGAATGCTGAGGAAATTGTATTACTGCAATTTTATTTTGTTTTATGAACTACCATATTTAAATTGCATTCTCATATGGTAATTATTTTTTAACTTGTAGAATTTATATTTCCATATAAACATGTGCAGAGAGGTAGATGTTGCATGTGAGGCGTAGGAAGGAGATGAGGGGTAATGTAATGGAAGAAGAGAGTGGAGGAGAGAGGGGGCACAAATATATAAAATGTCTGGAAGTAATATTAATACAGGCCAAGAGATGTAGGAACAGTAATTTCAGAGTAATATTGGAACGTAGGACCAGGGAGTCAGACATGTTCACCCCAAAAATCTAATGGACCTAAAAATGTGTCCAAGTATTAATATTATCAACTACTAATTTAGATGATATTTTTCTAATATAACAAAATAAAAGACTATGGTATAATTGATATGTTGAGTAATGGGTGATGATGCCGAAAGCCGTTACAAAGACAATTTCTGTTGGGTGACACTGAATCCGAAGTTGTGACTTTCCATGAAAATTAATACTTCTTTACTACTTACAATAAATTTCTCATTCTGAACTGCTTTTCTCAGATCAGTTTGTGAACTTAGTTCTTGATAGCATATATTGTCTTGCAGAGTCTGACTATGTATGCCATCTCCAAGTACAGCGTCCAAGCAGTTGTCATCCAGTCCTAATGACAAAAAAGTTATGATACTGAGTTGAAGGGTCTTGAGAACATAGACACAAAGTGGATAATATTGGAGAACCCCTTTCTTAATACTGTCCAGTACTGCATATCATAATTTTATCTCCACCACAGTTTGAAATCTGAATTGCTCCACTGGAGAAAGATTTTTTTTATTACTACTGGGGTGGGACTAAGTCCCTTGTACTGCGGCCACTTCTGGCCTACTGTACTAGCCCCAGATGATAGGCGAGGGTGATTGTGGAGCAATTGGTGGAATGAAGATTGGCAGGGGAACTGAAGTACTTGGAGAAAACCTGCCCCAGTGCCACTTTGTCCACCACAAATCCCACTTGACCAGACCCAGGATCGAACCCGGGCGGCCGCGGTTGGAAGCCAGGGACTAACTTAACTGCTTGAGCTATGGTGCGGCCAATGATAATGTTAAGCCATGTTTTGTAGGGACTCAACAGTAGCATGAACTATTTACTATTATGAATCTGGAATGATGATATACGTCGGTGGGTATTGGCAATAGGGATTCTGCTGTCTGTCTGCCTGCCTGCCTGCCCATCCATCTATTCCTGCTGCTCCTACTTGGAGCATAGGGCATCTGTTAAACACTTCGTTTCTCTTCAGTTTCTTAATCTTAGACAGTTGGAAGGGTTCCTTGGATGTGGGATCAGCCTGACATAAGGCCACTACCTACACAGGGCAACAAAAACACAGAATAAACACAAACATCCATGCCTTGAGTGGGAGTCAGACTCATGATCCCAGTGTTGAATGGGCAAAGACATTTATTGTCTTAGACCAGGCATGTCCACTTCAAATAGGTTGTGATCGACTTTTTAAGTGTCAAAACTGCCAGTGATCTACCACCCCCTCCTATGGTCATACCTTGCCACCCCCTCCTATGGTCATACCTTGCTTTCACCCCCTCCTGTGGTCATACCTTGCTTTAAGCAAAAGTATTGGTAAAAATAACACGACACATTATGTTTGTTGTAAAAGCAACATACACTGAAAGTACATACTACTTTAACACGTATTTTCCCTTCAAAATCTGAATATTATATTACATGCGAATTTACATGCTTTTCACATATAATTTCCTTACAGGCCTATGAGATCGACCACAAATCATCCCGTGATCGATGCGTTGGACATGCCTGTCTTAGACCTTGTGGCCACTGTGATCAGCCATTGGAGATTATGGGTCACAAATTTCAAAATCAATTATAAAAACCTCAGTTAATTATTGTTTCTTCTTTTTTTTGTTACCAAAATTACAAACATGAGATATTTTCACAGACACCTTTGCAGTACCTTATGAATCATCTCTAGGGAAGAAATTTTCAAATCCTATTTTTCAGTCTATGATATCTGCAGCATGCATATAACATGTGTACACGTATAGCATGTTTCAGAAACATGTATCACAAAAGCAACTTAGGAGTGTAACACTAAGACAAAATATCATAAATTCATCCAGTGACTGAAAATGCTTTATTACCTAAATATCTTACTTTCTAAGGTACATTCCTAAGGTAGTTTATTACATGACAGAAAGTCTATAGTGTCATACAGTGCATTGTGCAGTCTACTGATTAAAATATATCAGGATTTAAGGACCTGGCATTTGCGCTCTTTCAATCTTTGAACCTTAACCCAATCAATATATATCTTTGGGATGATATGGGAAACTCTAGCTTCATCTACCACAGTATTATGGATGGTCCTGAGTTCCGGTGGCATCATGCACATCAAAAATGTTTATTATTTTTAATAATATATTTTCATCTATCCCTCTATTCTTATGGACCTTAAGGAAATGAGAAGACTGCAGTTATGAATGAAGAATATCTCATGCTGAGCACGACTTTATAGTTCAGGCTAACATCCCCATGGTGCACCACTAAAAGAAATTATATTATTTCACAAACATTCTTAGAAAAGGGCTTTTTGTTTGAAATTATAATCTAACCTAACAAGATTTCTGTCTTCTGGAATATCTTACATAAACTTAAACCAATTTACATTCCTATCAATTTTATAGCAAACAATTTGAAAAGCAAAATACTTATTGTAACATATATTATGTTTTGGAACATTTGTTTTCTCACTGTCAGTAGCAACTTAATAACTTATTGTCGGTTTGGCCAGTCCACAACTGTTTCACTTGCCCACTGCCGCACCGTCTCCTTCTTGCAGGTTGCATAGAACTCCCTTGCAATTCCACACGACTGCTGTACACCACTGCTACACTCACAATCAGACTCAACTTTGAAACAGACTTTATAGAGACAAAATCATCCTAGAAGCTTCTTATTATTTCCTGGTCATCTTTGGCCATTGCTGTGGACTGAGTTGCTCTCAAAGAATGCAACAACCAAGACAGGAGTCTAGAAATGTTGATATGAGGCACGTGCATATGCTCCTATCTCCCTCACTCACATGTCAGTACGTTATAGAAGACATGTTCATGGCCTTCATTTCTGATCAAAATTACCTACACCTGACGTGATGGCAAATAAAACAAAATGAGATAGATGATCTTCATGTGTAAAGAATAGTTTCACAATGAATTCATACTTCACTTGCAGCTTGGATAGAAAAAGAAAGTTGTCATACATGCATCTATTATGTACATGTTTGCAGTGGTCATAAATATGACAAAGGAGCAAAATGTTTGTACATGTTGTAACTGATTTGTTGGGTATGCAATGCTAAGTAGTTTCAGCTGCTTAACTGATCTGGTGGGCATTTCATGGTGAAATTATTAAAAGATTTGTCAAACAGAATGAAGCTGGAAGCCTCAAAATACTAAAAAAAGATAAAGTCTTACCTGACATTCCTGAAGCGCAGGAAGGCATGTCTGGAGAAATACAGGAAACATTCTGAGGCATGGCTACATCATTATCATCATTATCATCATCATCCAAATCTTGAATGTTCATTGATGATGGAAGTTCACTGAGCCGGTCATCAAGTTCTGTGCTGTGTCTCCGAGTTGATGCAGCTGATGCCACTGTAAGTGAAATAAATTTCAGAAATTACACTGTTAATTAACTGTTGTACCTCAGCAAATTACACTCCTATTCAGATAATTAAAACAAGTGAAAAACCTTCATGTATAAACTCCCTAATATGTATCTGAATCCTGATGCAGGCTTCTGTATTTCATTAGTCTAAGGAGAAACACCTGATTGCTTGTATATTAATACATTGCTTTTTAATTGCACTACTTATGTATTTATTTTACTTACATGGGACTCCACTTACAATATAATAATAATAATAATAATAATAATAATAATAATAATAATAATAATAATAATAATATTTAACAATCTTACCATAGCATCCAATATTGAAAAAAATAAAAAATGCAGGTTTGTGAATGATAATTGATGACATATTACATATTGTTGACAGATAAACTTGGCGGCAAAACTAGCACCATCTATAATCATCTCATGCAGCATCATTATGATTTTGTCATACAGTGAGATTTGTGTTGTATTTAATGACTGTATCAGCAACTCAAGACAATACACCACTAAATGGTAGAACAATAGTGAAAATAAACTGGAAAAATGTGAAAGGAAATGATCATGGTCTAGTCTGGGGTACTGTCCCAAAATTTGCCTGGAAGGGATGAGGAAAACCACAAAACTTCAATCAGTATAGCTGGTGTCCTTGCTGAGATTCAAACTGGGAACCCGTATGTCAGAGGCATTAACTGTAACTTTTTTGGACATATGTCACTGGCCTTCATGTCACATTCAAGTAATCTGCAGAGCATATTCTGACATGCACTAAACAATGTGTTGGTACAATATTGGACACAGTATGATAAATTTAAAATTGAAAAGAAATAAACTGATGTGGGAAATTTTGTGATGTTATATACTGTATGTTCAAATAAGTAGATATCAAAGGCATTAAAATCAAATTGTTTAGAAAATACTCTTCCAGTTAAAAGTCAGACCAAACCAACGAATGGTATGTGTGTAAGGGGTGGGCCATAAAATCTGGCCCTCGCACTGTGACCTTGACTGATCTATTGTGCTTCCCCTTTGAATTAACCCTTTATTAATCATACACCTCGAATGAAATGTAGGACTTTATTTATGGGGAATCATAAAAGTCAATTGGTTCCATGAAAAGCTGGCCCAGGTGACAAAATCTTAAGTTATCTATGGCCTCACAATCACATAGGATATGTAAACTAACAAACTGCAACCGCTCACTTAGGGTGCCANGAGACATGACTTTAGCTGCGGTAAGTCATCGTTACATATGCCTGTCTTGCAGCAAATTCGTGTTGCTTCTGGTAGAAGTTTCCTCATTCAAACTGTTATGAATGGCGTGTTTTCTTTCCTATGAAGTTATAAACAGCAGAGACCTGATATGTGCTGTGTTTATAATAACATATTGCCCTGAGCTGGCCACACTAACACACGCAATTAGAATTCTTAGAAGAGGGATGTCCAAAAATTTATTCTTGCNGCTAGCTCAGTCGGTAGAGCATGAGACTCTTAATCTAAGGGTCGTGGTTTCGTGCCCCACGTTGGGCGCCACTTCTTGCAACCGCTCACTTAGGGTGCCACTTCGCCCCTCACGTTGGGCGCCACTTCTTGCAATCGGTCTTGGCTACCACTTCTTGCAACCGTTGGGCATCACTTCTTGCAACCGTACCTTTTTATTATTGTATTTATTTATTTGCCCGCTTTGGTAGAACACTTGACTCATTTATTTGCCCGCTTTGGTAGAACACTTGACTCATTTATTAGCCCGCTTCGGTGGAACACTTGACTCTTCTCAGGGTTGTGTCACGGTATTAACTGGGGCAACGAGAAGACTACACATTTAAAGCTAGTCCACTGATACAAATCAAAGACACTATTTTCTGCTTAATCACAAATTGTTTATTTCAGAAGCAAACACTATATCTTTATTAGCAAGTACGGAGTAATGTGCCCTTTTTATTATTATCAAAGATTAATCGAACCAAAAAGACTGATACATTTAGATATACTTGGAGAGCGCAGCCCAATGACATCTGCATCTCATGAATCCTAAATGCCAAGTTCTTCTGCCCACTCTATTCTGTGGGAGCGTCACTTCATCCACTGTATAGGATTTGAACCGACGGCCTTTCTCCCAGACAAGAATAGTTTCCTAATGGCTGATTTTAACTGCCAATTCATCATACCATCAGCACTAGACAATCACATTACTAACTTTGAGAATAAAGAGATCCAAAGATATTGAACCCGGAACCCTACATGTGAAAGCGGTTATTTCTTAGTTTAGGGTCAATTACACCCTTCCAAAGACACTTTTATAACAGCTACCCTATTAGCAAAACAACATTTACATGTTCGGCAAACTACAGACTTGCCTTTTCATAATGGGCCATGTCCCTTTTGTGGTCACCCAAGCTGCAGGTAACATAACAAGGCAGTTGTTCCTGTCCAAATGCGAAAAGCAAGTCATAACTTCTTAATGGATGGGTCTCCCTAATAAATCAGTCACTCTATTGAAATGGCTAAAGAGGAACATATCGTCCATTAAAGAGTTTTAAAAGGTTTGGACTGTCACAAAATGGTGGTGCAAATTGTGCTTCCCCTTTGGATTAACCCTTTATTAATCACACCTCGAATTAAATGTATGACTTTATTTATGGGACATCATAAAAGTCACTTGGTTCCATGAAAAGCTGGCCCAGGTGACAAAATCTTAAGTTAGCTACGGCCTCACAATCACATAGTATATGTAAACTAACAAATGCTGGTGATAGCAGTGGTGAGGGCAGTGGTGGTGATGCTCATTGTCATGGTAGCGGTGGTGAAGCAGCAGCAGTGGTGGTGGGGATTTCATTAAAGCATCTTCAAGCACTTAATTCTCTAATTCATGCATTATCTTCATTCATTAGTGGCTTTTCATTAGGAGAGGAATTTTTCAATCTATAACAGTTATGGGGTTAAACTCCTAGCCATCCTGAAGAAAGAGTATTACGAGTATATTCACATCATTATTTTTTTGGATATTATGAATGACTGTGAACAGTATAAACACTAACATGTACTGGAAAATGGTGAGTCAGCTGGAGAACATGTTGAGGTTGAATTAGAATGGACAAGTTCAGTTCGTTGAGCACTGTTTATTCTTGTCACTAAAAAGCTTCGGGTAAATGGGAGGCTTGTGACATCATACCGAATTCCAATAGGTGGACTGAGATTTCGGCAGTTGCATACATGAAGAAGACGTTCACACAGGACAAATAAAATCTGCAAAAGAAGATTATTTGTTGACAGAAGCAGATTTTAACAGCAGGAACATTTTTAATTTTTAAAGCATAAATACACTCTTCATTTCTACAAATTTAAAGTATTGTATTAATATGAATTCCTTTATTAAAGTAACATGGATGATAAAATGTACTTTATATATAAAGTAAATGTAATTAGACATGAAGCACCTAACAATACTCAATTTCTGTTACAACAAAGAATATTCTGGATATCTGCTGAAAAAATATTCCATTTTGAACTTTTAAATATGACAGATGCATTGTTTATATACTTATCTACTAACGCGATATAATACATTTAAAAATGAAATGAAGTAAGCTGATGTAGTGAATATCCCAAAGAGAAGAAACTGGGTTTTATAGTGTTGCCGTATCTCAGAGTTTTCTTCTGCCATATATTTTTTAACTTCACAATGGTTAGGATACAGGACATGTTCAGTACTTGCTTGTTCTGCTGCTACATTTAAGATATATTAGAATTTGTAATAACAAGAGAGTAATGCTTTGCTGAAAGCATATTTTTGTATGAGTTTTATGCATGTGCTCTTAAATTCTTTCTGTATATTAACTGTCAAATGCAGATATTTAGCTTAGAAAATAAAATTTATTATTGAATACAGAAGTGTATTTTTTGTGCAGGTTATTATATGTATAATTACCATTAAGAATAATGCAAAAATATCCTGCATGTTAACAATGAATTTAGTCCACAAGTAAATAAGGTAAAACTAAATATATAGACAGGAAACCACAATCAGCAGTCATAGTAAAATTAAGGGTAATAAAGCATGTCTGAATACTTAAAGCTTTAAGTTATCTGACAAAATAAATAGCGGCCTCCATAGTCTAGGGGTAACATTCCCACCTCATGACTTAGGGTACGCAGATTCAAACCTGGCGGAGGTCGTGGAATTTTTAAGGGCGGAAAAATTCAGGGAACAAGTCCTCCTGGAGGGACTTTAAGCCGTGGGTCCTGTGTCGTAGATTTACGGCATGTAAAAGATCCTCATGTCTCTAGGAGACCTCTGAGCAAAATTAGGCAAAATTTTTCCTGCCCAAGTAGTTTCCAGTGCCTCCAGTAGATGGGGAAGTTGTCGGTTACCAATGCCAGTAGAGGGCTGACCTCGCTGGCAGAAAGGGGAGAGTTATCGGGTACCACTACCAGCAGAGGGCCAACCTCGCTGGCAGAAAGGGGAGATAGCGGGCACCAATATCGGTAGGGTATGGCTACAGTAGAAATTAAAGGGGGACGTACAATAGACTATTAGTCACGCTGCATGGGAAAACCCACCCCCTCTATACTGAATAACTGAATATCTGGCAAAATAAGTATCTACTGGAAATGAAGTTTGTAGTTTAAATTAGGAGAGAGATGAATTCTGTTAGTATCATTCAGAAACCATTATCATCCCATGATATTTCTAGAATGCTGAAGTTTTAGATGAACAAAACAACAATTTCACCAGTTCTCCCTCCAGGGAGGAGCTAAAATTACAAAGTTCCTATAAAAAATATTTGGACCTAAGAAGAAAAAATGATCAATTTTGAAAGTTGAATAACAAGACGCCTGTTTTTATAGGTCACATATTATTGTAAAAAATAAATCTAGAAGCTGCAATTGACTGGAAACGTAAAATTTCTAGTAGGGCGAAAACAATTTATACATAAATGCATACAAATGTATGTAGAAGCTTTGTTGAGAAATCTCCTTAGAACTGTCATTTGGAAAACTGAAATGAAAAGAGGAGAACACTATTAAGATGGATATTATGAAACTTTTCCATAGAATGTCTTTGCTCAGTGATGACACAGCCCATGATAACAGCAATAATGATGATAACACATCATCAACTTTAATAACTGGAATAAATAGCAATAATGAAATGAATAGTTTTAATAGTGTGTTCTAAAAGATGTAAATATACAGTTTTAATACAAATTTCTTACTTCATGTGTTGGGAATGAATATTCCAGTATCATCAGCAACTGTCGTAGAGTTGTAGCCGACAGCAGATATGTACTTTGTTGAAAATTTGTAACGTTTATTCACTTTTATTGAAACTTTCTTATGATAAAATTTGATAGAATAGTATATATCTATATTAAAAAGGAAATTCCATTACATTCTAAACAGCAGTTTACTACAGATGTAAGATCAATATTAGGATGCAGGGAAATTAAGTGATTGCTACTGAACAGCATTTTACCTTAGGTATATATTTCAATGTTCTTGCTTCATATCCATGAAGCATTATCTTCTGTCTGCTTAAATACTGTGTGAGACTAAAGTCTGTCACCCTCCTGTCCTTGGAAAACTCCCTGTTAAGAATAAATGCATGAAGTTTTTACTGTATTATATAAGATTAAAAAAGGAATGATAACTAGAACAATAAAAATAATTGCAGTGATATTATTCGGTGTGGACTACAATACTGAAATGCCACACACTCCTGCCTCAAATCATCATACACTTATTAGTCAAACCAAAGTATTTCTTTGACATTAATTTACCATGAAATATCTTTCTGTAATCATGAAACTAATTAACATTATTTCACACTTAGGCTATATATGTTTGAAATGCAATTCAGGTGCAGTATATATGAGTACACATTTTAATATGTTGAATAATCTTAAAAATATTTTAACAACATTTTCATGTTTAAAACTGTTCAGTACTCATGAAAGTTTGAAGAATATTATACAATGATTACAAAAATTATACTTTGATGTGTTAATACTTTATATCAGTATATCATTGTTGGTAACCTGTAACCAGTTCATAAATATGTGCCATCTATTGGTGAACATCTGTAAACCAGGTTCTCTGCTTCTAGTCATATTCAGTTGATTCGGTGTAATAATTTGTCAAGAGATCACTTATTGTAGTCTCTGATAGCATTTTTTCAACAGTTATCAACTGTTTATTCTGTTTATACTATATCTAGAACTGCATAGGATGAAGGCAAATAAAGACAGTAGGGTTAAATATTCACAGATTAATTTCGGAAGTACATAAAAGTGAAGAAGCAGCTCATGATATGGTCTGCTTTATGCCAAGGGAAATTCCCCTGGAAACCATTACAAGGGACACCTTGACTATACAAATTTTGTCAGAATAGTTTTTTTTTTCAGTTAATATTAACAAGGATATAATTGTCTCACTTACTTGTTGCAGAAGACAATACTCTGTGACAGAATAAATTGTTCAAACTCCTGGACACAAAGAATTTGTCCTCTTGTTTGTACAGCATTTGGACGTTTGAGTCTAACAAATCGAATAGCATCATTTGCTCGGACTCTTAAACTGTACACCAGGTAACATGCTATCAAAACTCCCGTTCTTCCAAGACCTGTAATGAATTTTATACATTATGCAATTATTAGTGGCACTACAAGCAAATATTCCTTTATTGCATGTGTTAGTTCTGTAGTGTTACATTTTACTTTTACTACAAACCTACAGGAATGCATGGTGGACCAAAATAAATTCTGTAACTTAATTTAAGTTCTAACATTACTACTTTAAGCAAGACAAAGGGNTGTTCTTCCAAGACCTGTAATGAATTTTATACATTATGCAATTATCAGTGGCACTACAAGGAAATATTCCTTTATTGCATGTGTTAGTTCTGTAGTGTTACATTTTACTTTTACTACAAACCTACAGGAATGCATGGTGGACCAAAATAAATTCTGTAACTTAATTTAAGTTCTAACATTACTACTTTAAGCAAGACAAAGGGCTAACATATTTCTCAGGAAGTAGAAAAATTAGATGTAAAAGTACTGTTCTTGTTAAATTCTTTAATCAGTTGCATAGATGGCCAGTACAGCAAAACTACAAGAACAATCAACAATCGATCAATCGATCACAGGTCAATCGATCAATCACCAGTCAATCCGATCGATCAATCAATCACCAGTCAAACGATCAATCAATCTAATCGTACAGTCAACCAAAACCAATCAATCACTAGATTAATCAAGCAGAAAGTCAACTGATTGCTCCAACAAACCAAATAAACAAACTAAATAAACCAAGTTTAAAGGTAAAATATTAACATTACTATGATGGGCAGTGTTCTCATTCCTTTTTAATTTTAAATCGAAAGACCTATTGCTGTTCACATAACTTTATTATTGTACTTTATTACTACGCCCAAAACTATTACCAACCGCAGTTACTATTTTGGTTTCCTCATATACTTCTATGTTGTGACACAATAGAAGCAGAGACTATAGTATGACATTCCAGTGAGAGCTCAGAGCTGAGGTGGAGGAGAAGAAGAAGAAGATATATTTCAGGGCTCCTACCAAAAAGTCCATCCGAAAATGTCATTGCAACATTGACATAAAAGGCGAAGTTATCTATTAAACCAGTTTGAGGCGGTTTTAATTCTATAACACAGCAGTTATACTTTATTTGTTGTGAAGGTCAAAAGGAGAGAGCATCCTGTCCAACATGCAGTGTACGGTCTGCGTGATGCAGAACATGAATTATTAAAACGTGTAGGGGATAGTGTGATCACCCTACAAAGAGACATTCAATCCATTAAACGTGGCACTGCCAGGTCTGCGTACTACTCGTACATAGACGCAAAGCAACGGATATCTTTTGCGCAGCTACATGGAGACAAAAAAATAAAAATGAAGTCAATATTTTCAATATTGCTGTCAGGCTTATGAACACAGTCCCTTCGTTCAGAAGAACACAGATTTATGTGGCAATAGGCTTATAAATAACCCACTATTTCTGAAAGACCTACTTTACCTGTTTATTATAAAAACATCGTACATATGACTTATTTATTAGGATATTGGTATTTTACTCATTCAGTGTTTTCTTTATTCAGCTTCTTTCGTTTCTTTTCATAGTCCAGTGACCCCACATTTTACTACTGACTGTCCAGCTGGTTGATTATGTCTTCAGTTTTAAAAGTGAGTTTTGTTTGAAGTTTTCCAAACAAAATTACGGTCACTCTACACCTTATTAATGAAATTCACATAACGACAAACTGCTTCCTTAAAACCACTGACATGCCATCTTCATCAACTTGCCCCCCCCCCTTTTTTTTACCTTTTCTAGGTTTACGCGCTAAAATTTTGCACGCATTACTTGTTTCTCCACGCATCTAAATATACAGTTAATTTACGTTAGCAGTGATAAGAGAAACACGGCGGTCGCCATTCCCCTCCTAGGAGCGAACAGCTGTTTGAGGAACGGCGTCTCCCTCGTAGGAGTGAACAGTTGTGTTGCAATGCGCAGCACGGAACGGGCATGCCTTGACTAGCTCAGGAACAATCCCACCAGAGCCAGTTATGCGGTAGTACATGACCACACTCGCCTGCATTACATGCATACAATCCTACATAAGGAGAGTTAATAGGGTCAAGATATAGCTGGGTTTGACTCAGTGGCATGGAGCTTACTTCGTAATGGGAGGGAACCAATTCATTTGTCAACTAAGTGAAAAGTTTCCCTCATTTCATTCTTGTTAGTGCTTCGACTTTCGCTGATAAATTTAAATACCGTATTTACGCATGTATAGGCCGCGTGCGTGTATAGGCTGCAGCACAATTTTCAGACAGAAATTATAGAAAAAATAATTTTCTTGGAATATTATTTCAGGAGTAGAAATTATTCCGAAATTTGGCAACGTTTAATTTTTTTTAAATGAAGTGTGATTTCGAATATTTCGAATATAAGCCGCACCCCAGTTTTCCTCTTGAATTTTTGGCAAAAAATGTGCGGCCTATACATACGTAAATACGGTAATTTCTTCAAAATATGCCCGTACCGATCTGTTTTTTTCTCCCTTCAGACTTGCAATTCGTAATGATAGCACCATTTCCCGCTGGACACTGACCAGGGTTTTTAAATAAAGTGGACGACCCAATGTAAACAGCTTAATAAATAAATTATTATGCAAGGTGGTCCAAAAGTCAGTCAATTTATTAATAAAATGTACGCTAAAATACGTTAGAAATTTCTTTATCACTTGTTGAACTTACAAAAATTTTCAATGCACAACTCTCAACGTTGAGATACAGGTATATAAACTAACTGGTAGGTTTAAAACTGAACATTTCCGTTAATATGGGAGAATGTTTTAGGTTAATTGACTTTTGTGCCATTCTGTATATTCTGTATATTGCATGAGGGTTGTTTGCAAGTTTATTCAAAGGAATGATACGATGGAACATGTATTTAATGCGTGAAGGGACAGTAAATGTTGGAAGAGGTGAAACAGACCTATGTCATTCATCCAACAATCTAACGTGACGTCAAAGATGGGCTCCGTACCGAGCACGGTGGTTTATCCTGCACGCAAAGAGGCCAGCTCATCGATCTATTCCAGTCACACAACGCGTTCCCTGTGTGTGTGTTATGGTAACATACATTTAAGGGGTTCTCGTATTTAATATTGAACGCATAAGAAACATGTATATGCTCCTTTAACGGGATCACAGCATTCCATGCTGAAGGTCTCGGTTTCGAGACTGGTCGTTTCTGGTACTGCCGTGTCTTTTCCTCACTCCTGGCAAAACAAAAACATTATGTGGTATATACCACGTAAGCAGATCTAAAATGTGAGGATGGTACATTAGTAAAATTATCCTTATAACAGGCCGTGAACGCCCATATGCTTTTGAGACGTCGAGGCTCCCATATTTTCTCCAGACAGTCGGCTTACAGATGGCGGTGAGGTTGTCAGCCTTACGCGCCGTCTTCCATTTACCCCTCAGGAAGATTCCTGATACTCATTTCTGTTCATTCAATAGGTGCCTGGGTTGGCTTCAGAATTGGTCTGAACACTGTGGAGAAGAGAAACATTTTGCCATGCCGGAATCGAAACCGGGCCATCCAACCCGTAGCCCGTCGCTATACAGACTGTGTTACACCGGATCCTCTGTAGCAATATCTAATGCACTTAATTATTGCAGGCGGTCCGTCTGCTCGTGGTCTATTCAATGAAGCCCACAATGAGGATAGTCAGTATCCCCACTAAGGTTCAAACAGGTCACCTCCCGAATAGAAATCCGAGTTTTGCCTCCTTAGCCAATTTATTCTGTGCTCCAGCAGAAATAAATCCTGGATATATTCGCGTATTTATCCATTAGGCTTTTGCAGGTTAAAATAAAACCTCGAAGGAGTTCTTCTCTAAGGGGAAATTATAATTAAACATATATCTCGCTAAGATCTCTCACTTTTCTGCCAACAAACTGAACATGACCCAATTTCTGAGGCATGTTTGTTATAAGACTTTTCGAGATTAATCCTACTCCCTTCGGCGGAAAACTGGATGCCATTTAATGACAGATTTTTCACTGTCGATTTTTTAAAGTTAATGACGATATTTGGAATAGAAACTTGGACCATTTCAATGTTAATGTAATACGCTAACTACCGAATGATCTGCGCAGCAATGTGCAACCTTGTGTTTGTTTACTGACCGAAATGCTCTCACAAACATTCAGGGAAACATATCTTAATCTGTTTTAAACATTTTCTATCATAAAGTATATATGTAACAGAAGAGAACGAATATATAATGCTGAAATATTAATGTAGACTGAAGCCAACTGCGGAGCAAAGTATTAGCCATAAACGTAAATCTCTCATCGCACAGGTCGGCCATCTTATGGCATGTGGCGCTGCCGCGGTTGCCAGTGAAGACAAGTGACATGTACGAGGCGGATTATAAGAGCAAGAAACGGGCTGAAAAACAGAAACTGAAGAAATATTAAACAATTCTTCAACTGGTAGGAGGAATGTGGGATAGCCCCCCCCCTAAGAGCAGCGTGATTAGCTCTAACATATTAGGGTATTTTTTTTTATTGCTAGTGGGGTGGGACTAAGTCCCTTGTACTGCAGCCACTTCTGGCCTATTGTACCAGCCCCAGATGATAGGTGAGGGTGATTGTGGAGCAACTGGTGGAATGAAGATTGGCAGGGGAAACCGAAGTACTCGGAGAAAACCTGCCTCAACGCCACTTTGTCCACCACAAATCCCACTTAACCAGACCCGGGATCGAACCCGGGCCAACCGCTTGAGCTATGGCGCGGCCCTGACATATTATGGTAACTGTTTACTCAGAATGAAAGCACCCACATACATCATACGCCCATGTAGCTTTGTGAATACATGTCGCTATGCAGCAGGAAATATTGTTTATGTATGAAGGCTGTATGTGAAAAAATCACCCTGATGAATATTCAGTTATGCAAACATTGGCTTATGAGTTTCTAGAAGTCTCCATATTTGCGTGTAGCAGTAGCTACTGCCCAGGAAGTCAGACTCAAAAGTTTTCATCGCACAAAGCCGGGATCAATTCTAGATTACTTCGTGGGAGACTCATGGTGGACGAAGTTACACTTTCTTCCGGGGGGGGGGGGGTGGAAATCCTCGTGGGGCCAGCGCA